AAAATAAAACAAAACTGATATTTTCAGAGAAAAAAATTAAAATTTACAAAAAAAATATAAATTTACATGAAGGTTTTACATTTATGAGGAAAAACTCAGTTAAAGTGGTAGAAAAAATAAACTTTGTGTTTCTTTAGATTCATATTTTACACTTACTAGAAAAAAAAAAAAGGAGGAACGTCTAAAAACTACAAACGGTTCCTGCAGGGTTTTATTTTTCTTTTAAATGGAGGTCTGTGTCGACGCTTTACACCTGATTTGACCGTTTTCTCGTCTCTTTTTGTGCTTTTTAAACTCATTGATCTGGTGATTGTGCACATTCTCATGTTCCTGATGTAACATAATGTGAAGGTTGGTTTATGCTGACGGAGTTTGTGGTGATAAATTAAGACGATGACGAGACTTTGGTGCATTTTAATGTTTGTTTTCTTTCTAGAATCTCAGCAGAGATTCTTGAAGTTTTATTCAAACTGCTGAAGCTCCTGAAAACAATTAAAGTAAATCTGTTCTGGTTCTCGTGTTTCCTCTGTTGATTGTTTCTGGTCATTTAGATTTTTATTTCTTACTGTTGATTATTGTTAAATTGCAAATCAGTAACTTAAGTGATTTTTCTTCAACTCACGTCAGCGTCAAGCTTCAGCAGTTGATCATTTAAATGTTTTTGTTTGCTGAAATTCGACGATTAAATATTCAAATGAGCTTCTATAAAAATAAATACGCACTGATTTTCACATTCTAGTTCCTTTAACTAGTAAAATATTTTTAAAAACTCGCCCCAAGTTTGTGAGTTTCGACTCAAACGTCCTTTCCTTTATGTGAAACCATTTTGGTTCTCGTTTGGCGCCGGCGGAGAAAAGCTGCAAATCAGAAGTAACGAAGCGTTTCGAGCCTCTGCCGTCCATTCAAACGAGGAAATAAAACAGATTCATGCAAATCAGTTTGTCCCTGATGGAACCTGCCACTGGGGGTCATTTAAGGTACCAGAGAACGTCCCCGCAACGCTGAGACAACGTCGCCTACAAGTTGTAACAACTTTTAAAGAAAGCGTTGGTGTGAGAACGTCCTCCAAATGTTGACAATAAAACATCGTCTGTTTTTTCAATTCTTTAAAGGTTCTTTGTACGTTTGCCTGAAACACGTTTTTGAAGTTGCGTGTAGGTGGCGCTGTGAAATGATGCGAGAACGTTCCTGATGTTGACGTTCTGATTGTCAAACAGCTGATTTCACACCAAACAGCCTCCAAAGCAGCCAAAGGAAACGACTTCTTCTGTTTTGTCACCTCAGAGTGGCGACAGAATTACTGCCGCTGGAGACTCTTTAAATATTTGTTTTACACTCGGATCACACAACAGGACCGATTTCAGCATCAGACACAAACTGCAGCCAACATTTTATTGAAGACGAACATCTGCAGTTGGAAGAAATACAAAACTGAACACAGGACAAAACAATAATTTAACTCTCCGTCTGCTTCACGTTGCGTTTTCCTCCGCCTGGTGGCTCTTCATGTGGGTCTTCAGACAGTGGCTCTGGGTGAAGGCTTTCTCGCAGATGGCGCATTTGTACGGTCTCTCTCCGTTGTGCGTCCTCATGTGGACGGTCAGGTACGTTTTACGGGCGCACGCCTTCCCGCAGATCCCGCACACGAACGGTTTCACGCCCGAGTGGATCGCCACGTGGTTGTCCAGGTTCGTCTTGCGCTTGAAGGCCCAGCCGCAGTCGGGGCAGCGGTACGGCGCCTCCCCGGTGTGGACCCGCATGTGCACCGTCAGCGGCCCTTTGGTGGTGAAGCCGCGGCCGCATTCGCCGCAGTGGTACGGTTTCTCGTTGGTGTGCGTCCTCATGTGGATCTGCAGCTGCTTGCCGGTCAGGAACATCTTGCAGCAGACGTCGCAGAGGTACGATCGCTCTCGGGTCGTGTGGATCTTCTCGTGTTGCCTCAGAGTTCCGGGGAGCTTGAAGCGCCTCCCGCACACCTGGCAGCTGTGTGGTCTCTCCCCGGAGTGGGTCATCTTGTGGCGGGACAACGACCGGTAGTCGCTGAGTGACTTACCGCACACGCCGCACAGGTGCGACTTCCTGTTGACGTGTGTCCTGCGGTGGGATTTTAACTGTTTTCCCGCCTCGTGAAGTTTCTGGTGATTCTCCAGCGTCGCCTTCAGAGCAAACGCACGCCGGCAAACGGTGCATTCATGCGGTTTCTCCCCCGAGTGGGCGGCAACGTGCTCATCGAGGCTGAGAGCACCGACGAAAGACTCTCCACAGATGTGACAGGCTTCAGTTCTGTGGCGGCTTTGGAGATGATCCTTTAAGGCGTCCTCCGCCTCTAACGGCTCGCCGCAAACGCCACAAACCGAAACCTCCTCGTGAGTCCGGGCGTGTTTGACCAGCGAGGCCTCCGATTGGTGCAGAGCTCCACAGACTCTGCAGCAGAAAGCAGCGACGCCACAACGTCTCGCTTTGCGTTTCTTCGACTGCAGTTTCTTGGGCTTCTCGTCGCTCTTGTCTGGTTTCCAGTTGTCGTCGCTCACTTCGTCTCGTTCTTCCTCCTTCTCGTCGTCTTCGCTACCTCCTGCTTTGGCCTCAGCTGCGTCTTCTTCGGCAGCTTCCTCAGTTTCGTCGTCTTGCTGCTGCAACTCGGTGTTCGATCTGCTGCCTTCGACCTCCTCGACAGGGCCGCTGTGGAAGCAAAGCAGGAATCAATTGACGATGATGAAGACAAGCAAACGATTAACCGATTAGCTGTTAAAACTTTAGTCGCTGAAGGTCACAGCAAGAACATTGCTGAGTGCCACTTTTACGCTCCCTTGCAATATTTTTGCAGCAAGTTTTTCGCCCCCTAGCAACATCTTTGAGTTACCTGATGACACCTACACATTCCTTTGAACTACTTTGGCTTTTAGATATTTTAGAGTTCCCTCAGAAAGCTTGTGGGTCTCCCTGCAATACTTGTGTGTTATCTTGCAACAAGTCGGTGTCCCTTCGTAACACTTTTTACGTCTTACGAGACTTTTGCGTTCTCGCGCCATAGGTTTGCGCGTCTTCATCACACTGGACTTTTGCGTTTCCTGCGAACGCTTTTCCGTCACTCTTCCGCTGTTGGTCCATCTGGATTTTCTTGATCCAATTTTTTACCTGAAAGATCACATTTGTACCGGCGCTGCTCGTACAGTAGATCTAAAGACGACTGAAACACCTTTAAGATAAACTGGAGGTCCTGTGTTCGGTACCTCACCTCGTTTGCTGATTCGGATCCTCACACATCGACGAGACCGAGCAGCTGTTTGGTGTCTGCAGAGGAAGAATCTCTTCGTCTCCGTCCTGAGGTTCGTCTTGTATCTGAAACGACACAAAACAAGAGTCCAGGACCTAAAAAGTTGCCGCATACTTTCAAAATCAAGCAAGAAACCACCGAACCGAACTACCTTTGGTCGGACGTAGAGCGTCGGCGTCTTCCGTCCGGTGCAGCCGATGCTGTTGAGGATCTCTTCGGCCGTCAGCGTCTTCACCTTCACTGGCTGTAACCGTCGCCTTCGGTCCGACGTCAGGATGTCGAACGGTTCGTGGAGCTGAGGGGAGGCGGATCTCAGCAGGTCCAGGAAGTCGGCCTCCCGCAGACCTCGAGGACATTTCAGGTCCAGGATCGGACTTTTCTTCGGCGCTGACGAGGACACAAACCGGCAGCACCAGTTAGATTGTCCCGCTAGACTCGACAGCAATGAACCAACACAAGCAATGTTGCAGCAACTTCATCGGTCCCGGTCCGAGTTAGAATTTAAACATCCGAGCTGTGCGTCGCTAGCGTTAGCCTCAGGTAGCTAGCTAAACCAGACAACACTTCAGAACTTGATGCCGCAGGTTTCCTCAACACTATTGCTACAGTTAGCCGTTAGCATCAGAGGAGGTGCGCTTGATTTACTGACGTTTACTGGCGGGCAGCAAACACACCTGTAGCTCCGCTGTCATGCGCAATATGACTTAATACTTCAGTATAATTGGCAGTTTTACTTCTTACTTTTCTATTCTAGTCTTTTCGGAGCGTAGTTAGTTGTGTTTTTACTAATGTGCATATTTACATTTTAGCGTTGTTCTGCATCATTTCTCTCTCTCTCTCTTTTTAAATATCTTAACCTTATTCAAAAGTAAAAGGCTCCATCTGGTGGAACAATCAGGTACTGCAGCTACTCCACAACACATTTACTGACATGCATGTGCCTCGTATTGTTGTGTGATGTTTGTAATCGGTTTTGTTATTAGCAGCGATTAATCGATTAACAGCAATGAGCACGTTTGATTCTTAGAAATAAATCTCAAAACAAACATTTAAGCTGCACGTCCACCAGCTCTACGACCAGGACAGTCCTCATTTTCTGTCATTCGATTTCGACCCTTTATGGGACAAACTCACATCGCTTTGCATTAAAATGTTTATTTTTTAAAATCACCGTTTCTTGAGAGGACGCTGGCGTTGGAGTTCTCCAGGACGCAGATCCTGAGGTCGATGTGGTTCTGCGGTTCTCTGATCTGAGGTCTGCCGGGTGTCCTGCTGCCATGCGGACATCTGGAGGGCAAAGATCTGCTGGATGAGGAGCAGCCGGTCAGAGTCGAAATCACTTCATCAAAAACACAACAAAAGTCTGAACTGGTCGTTTTGATACGAGTGCTTTAAGTAGGAACCTCGGCGGACTCGTCGAGTTCAGGTTCTCACTAGACTCCTGATCTCCAGCCTCCTCTTCCTCAGCAGGGACGAAGCTCCGGCGGCGCTTCACACCTGAAATAATCAGTCGTTATTTACTTCATATTTCTGGAAAAGTGTGATTGTTGGGGTTTTATTTTGAAAATCTCAAGCAAATGTTAGCGTTTACTATTTCTAATATTATTATTGGTATTATTATTGTTGTTGTTAATGATGATGATGATGATGATGATGATGATGTCTTTCTTTGAGGCAGCAGTTAAGCCTGTCCAGAATGTTCGGTTCTAACTTAAACCCCGTGTGTCGAACTCCATTAACAATATCAGCAATTCAACATTCTTCTAAAATTAAATTAACCACGCAAGAAAAACAGGATTCAATGAGATTAAAGGCGTCACTGGTGTGTCGCTGTGAATCCGGCTTTCACGAACAACCCACTGCCGCTGCCTTCAGTGTGCAACTCCCTTAAACTTCCCCCAGATTTGCAGCAAAAGTCTGTAACGGCACCACAAAGGTAATGCCAAGTTAAAGACCACAGTGTGCTTGTGGGTCAAATATATTGAGGCCGAATTAAAGAGGAAGTCGTGCTGATTAATGACCCGTGTTCGGATTTTTAAAACGGTGCGTGGAAATTAGTCGTTTGTCAAAAAAACTTTGACTTAAACAGTATTTAAATGGAGTTCGGTTTGACCGCATCCCTCCACACAAACTGTGAGCTGGATTTTTTAAAAAGCCATGAAATGTTGAACCAACCGGGGGAGCTGAGGGCGACCTGAGGCTGCAGCAGCTCCAGCTGTCTCCTCTGCCGGTCCAGCTCCCGTCTGAAGCCCGAAGCCTCCGCCTCGTACTCGGCTACGATCCCGTCCAGCGCCGCTAAAATGTCCCGGGAGGCGGCGGAGAGTGTGTCGGCCACGAAGCCCCGCAGAGCCGCGGCCTTCGTCAAACCTCCATCCATCACCGCAAACACCGGGTCAAGATTCACCTTTTAATGTTTTACTGATGTTTTAAAGAACCTTTCATCGCACTGACTGCTGCCTTTACTCACTTCCTGCTTTGGTCCGTCCGTAAATGTCATCCGAGTGGAAACCGAAGATTCCG